AATATGATGTTAGCTGTGTATCTACTGTATATTATTTTCTTCTTCCTGCTAACTTTGGGCTTAGTTTGTTTTATTTTCTTGTTCCTTCAGTTGTAAAGGTAGGCTATTTAATTGAAATCTTTTTTTTTTTTCTTAATGCTGGTGTTTATTGCTACAAACTTCCTCCTTAAAACTACATTTGGTGCAACTCATATATTTTGCCCTGTAGTCTTTCCATTTTATTTGCTTCTCTCTGTATATAAGATATAGTATATATTTCTATAACATTATATTGATAGAATAAAATATACACATAATTATAATGTTACATAATATGTTATATATTTATATTTATTTAGCTATATGTGCATATATATTTTTTACTTTATTTTATTATACAGTTATGAGTACAAGCCAGGATTAGGTACATATGTAATGTATGTGTAGGTGAAATTTAGGCCTCCAACTGGTTCAGGATCAGGTACCCTTTGTGTTGTTATGTGTCTTCCCTTCCTCCCACCATGAGAGTGTTCCACAACTGTGCCAATCCCTCCCTTGTGTTATTGTGGTTAATGCTGAGGTCCCACTTATGAGTGAGAACATGTGGTATTTGGTTCTTTGTTTCTGTGATAGGTTGCTGAGAATCATTGTCTCCAATTCCATCCTATTTGCTGAGAAGTCCATGATTTTTTTCCTTCTTTATGGATGTGTAATATTCCACAGTATATATGTACCACATTTTCTTTATCCAGTCTACTTTCGATGGGGAGTAGGGTTGGTTCCATGTTTTTTCTATTGTGAATAGTGAGACAATAAACATGCGTGTGCAGGTATCTATTCTGTAGAATGATTTGTGTTTCTCCAGGTAAATTCCCAGGAGTGGGATTGCTGGATTGTATGGAAGGTCCATTTCTAGTTCCTTTAGATACTGTCACACCATAATTAAATATATTAACAAGTAAAAACAACTTTTGACAAAATCCAGCATCCCATCTTGATTAAAAACACTTGAACACCACTTAGGCATAGAAGAAATATTTTTCAAAACAGTTAGAGCCATCTATGTTAAACCCATAGCCAACATATTGCTCAATGGGCAGAAGTTAGAAACATTTCCCCTGAAAATAGGAACAAGACAAGTTTGCCCACTCTCATCCCTTCTGTTCAACATTGTGCTTGAAGTCCTTGCTAGAGCAATCAGGTAAGAGAAAGAAATCTGGGTTACCCAAACAGGAAAAGAGGAAGTTAAGCTATCCCTCTTTGTGTACGATATGATTTTATACCTTGAAAACCCTAGGAAGTCCATCAAAAACCTCCTTGCACTGATAAATGACTTTGGTAAAATTTCATGGTAAAAAAAAATAATTGTAGCCGGGCTCGGTGGCTCAGCCTGTAATCCCGCACCTTTGGGAGGCTGAGGTGAGTGGATTGCCTGAATCTGCAGGTTTGAGACCCGCCTGGGCAGTGAGACCTTATCTCTACAATAAATAAAAAAAAAAAAAACAGCGGGTGTGGTAGCGCATGCCTGTAATTTTGGCTACTTGGAAGGCTGAGGCGGAAGCATTGCCAGAACCCAGCAGGTCGAGGCTGTGGTGGCCAGGAGCGGCCACTGCACTCCAGTCTGGGCGACAGAGTGAGACTCCAATTCAAAAAAAAAAGGAAAAAAAAAATTGTGCAAAAGACAGTGGCATTTCCAGACACCAGTAACATACAGGCTGAGAACCAAATAAAAAGCAAAATCTCTTTCTCAATAGCCACAAAAAATGAAATATCTTGGCGTCTTCCTAACCAGAGAAGCGAAAGACCTTTACAACAAGAACTACAAAACATTGCTTAAAGAAATCAAAGAAGACACAAACAAATGGAAAACACTACAAACTCGTAGATTGGAAGAATCTATATTGTCAAGATGTCCCTTCTAGCCAAGGCAATTTGCAGATTCAATGCAATACCCATCATATTATATGCATATATATTTTAATTTATTTTATTTTATCTTTGACCCATGGGTTGTTCAGAAGTATTTTATACATTATTTGTAAATTTTCCAATTTCCTTCCTTTTTAATTTCTAGTTTCATACCATTATTCTCAGAAACAATAATAGATATATTTTCAGTAACGGATATGATTTTAATCTTCTTAAATTTCTTAAGACTTGCTTTGTGTTCTAACATATGACCGATTCTGAAGAATACTTCATGTGTTCCAGAGGATAAGGTGTATTCTGCTGCTGTTGGTTGGAATATTCTGTGACTATTAGACATTTTTGGTCTAAAATACAGTTCAAATACACTGTTTCCTTATTGTTTTTCTGTCTGTATGATCAATCCATTGTTGAAAGTATCAAAGTCTCTACTATTATTGTATTGTTTTCTTTTCTTCCTTTTAGTCTTGTTGATATTTGCATTATAAGTTACTCAAATGTTGGGTGCATACCCATTTATAGTTGTCATATATGCTTAATAAATTGATCCCTTTATTATTATAATAATATTATTTGTCTCTTTTAATAGTTTTTGACTTAAAGTATATTTTGTCTGATAAAAATTTATCTAACTATGCCTTCTTTGGGTTTCTGTTGCATGGCATGTCTTTTTTCTGTCACTTCAGTCTCGGTCTATGTGTAACCTTGGAGATGTAGTGAACCTCTTGTAGCCAGCATATAGATGGGTCTTGATTTTATCTCTTGATTCACTCTTTATCTTTTGACAGAAGAATTTTATCTATTTACATTTGAAGTAATTATTGATAGGTAAGAACATACTCTTGACATTTTGTTAATTGTTTTCTGGCTGCTTTTTAAATTATTTTTTCTTTTCTTCCTCCATTGCTGTTTTCCTTTTGATTTTATGATTTTCTATATTGGTATGCTTTGATTTTGGGGGGAAAGGGGTATTTACTACATGTTTTCTATTTTTGGTTACCATGAGGCTACATAAAACATTTTTTAATTATAGAAGTCTCCTTTAAGCTTTTTACAACTTAACTTTCATTACATGCCAAAAAGTCTACAGTTTTACATTCATTAGTTTCATTTTATGTTTCTGATGCCACAATTTACAGGTTTTTGTATTGTGTTTTAATTAACAAGTTATTTTAGTTATAGTTATTTTTAATACTTTTGTCTTTTAGCCTTACTATTAGAGATACAAATGAGTTACACACCACCATTAAAGCATTAGAGTATTCTGAATTTGAATATATACTTAGCTTTACTCTGAGTTTTATGATTTCATATGCTTACTAATTAATATCCTTTCATTTTATTTTGAATAATTCTCTTCAGCATTTTTTATAAGGCAAGTATAGTGGTGATAAACTCCCTTATTGTTTGTCTGGAAAATTATTCTTCTCTTATTCATTTTGAAAGGCAGCTTTGCTGGATATTCTAGTTTGTCAGGAGTTTTTTTTTCCCCCTAGCACTTTGAATATATCATCCAACTCTTTTCCAAGATTTTTCAAGATTTCTGCTGGGAAATTAACTGATAGTCTTATGGTATTCCTTCTATGTAGTAAGATTTTTTTTCTATTGCTGCGTTCAAAATTCTGTCTTTGATTTTTGACAGTTTGATTATTTTGTGTCAGTGAATAAGTCTTTGGGTTGAAACTGTTTGATAGTTTTTGAGCTTCATATATCTCAATGTCCATCTCTTTCCCCAAAGGTTTTGGTCATTATTTTTTAGATTAAGCTTTCTGCCCCTTTCTCTCTTCTTCTTCTTTTCTTTTTTGTAACTCCTGTAATGCAAAAGTTAGCTTTCTTGATAAAGTTCCATAAATTCTGTAGGCTTTCTTCATTTCTTTTCATTATTGTTTTCTTTATTTCCTCTGACTGGATAATTTCATATAATCTATCTCCAAGTTTGCAGATTCTTTTATCTACTTGGTCAAGTCTGCTTTTGACACTTTATTGCATTTTTTTGTTATTGTATTTTTCTGCTTCAATATTTCTATTTTAAAAACTACATTTCTATCCATTATTTGGAATTCTCTTTTTGTTCCCATGTTGTTTTTCTGTTATCATTGAGTCACCTACCTTTGTTTACCTGGAGCTCACTGAACTTCCTTAATTCAGTTATTTTTGAATTATGTCAAGCAATTTGTAGATCTTTACTTCTTTGGGGTCAGTTACTAGAATATAATTGTGTTCCTTCTCTAGTGTCATAGTTTCTTATTTTTCCATGTTTCCTGAAGACTTGCATTCCTGTTTTCACATTTGAATAAGCAGTTACATCTTCCACTTTTTACTGACTGTCTTTGGGAGAAAAATACTTTCCCTAGTCATCCAGTCTAGAGACTGAGGCTTTCTCAGATATTTTCTATAAACATATTCACTTCTCATCTGTTAGTCAGTCTTGGTGGGAGGAGGAGAAATTTTAATATTGTATGACTTCTTTCAATCCCACAAGGCCAGGACAGGTGCTGAAAGCTTCCCATTTGTCTTTTCTCAGGCATGGCCCTGAAATGCTCAAGTTTGTGTGCTTTTCTCCATCTCACAGAGCTGTGATGGTTGTTTGCACAAGATATTTACGTTTTCCTTATGGGGAGTCACTCTTAGAGCACTAGCTTTGGGGAAGGGGGAAGCGTGGCATGCAGAGTGCTTGGGGTGCCTATGGGACAGTTGTGAGGGGTCTTCCAAGTGGCTCTTGAGTGGGCTTTTTAATGGAGTTGACAGAGTGGTTAGTAGGGTCCACATCCTCTCTTCCCTGCTCCTATACTCTCCCAACCTCTCAGCTCTGCTAAGAATCTCTGTAACCTGAATGAGGTGAGAAAGAATTGAACCTGTTGGGCAGCATTTTGCATGGGTGGGAGAATCAGTCCCTCACTCATTACTCTCTCATGTTACCCCTCATCATGACTTTGTTGAGGGGAGTGCAACAAAGCCAAGGAGGAGGTGCCTGTTAGAGCCAGAGCAGAGATTTTCTCTCAGCCAGTGTCTGGCCTCATATGTCATTGTGTATATTCCTGTGTGTGTTTTCCAAATACCCATTATTGTGTGTGTGTGTATGTTTTTTTCCTCAGGATGAGCCCAGCTCTGGGATGGATCCTTGTTCTAAGCGGTACCTGTGGCAAACAGTGATGAATGTGGTTCAAGAAGGCTGTGCTGCAGTGCTGACCTCCCACAGGTTAGTACCCCCATCTTGTGGCCATTTCCTAAGACTGAGTAGCAAGCAAAAGTTAAGGCATGCACTCAGGATAAGGCATGGTGCTACACACAGGCATTCCTTCATCTTCACAACACTATAATGGTAATATTGTTGTTGTTAGTCCTTATGTATAAGCTAGGAAACTGAAGCACAGAGAGATTAAGTAGCATGACCAAAGTTACAGAGCAAGCAGATAGCTGAGCTAGTATTTCAACCTGGTAGTTTGTGTCCAAATACTATACTCTTGCCAAGGGTGGGTACTAGACTTTTGCACTCAGGTCTTTCTGAAGATCCCTTCAGATCTTTACTATTCAAGGCTTCTTATTGTAGCAGGCAAAATTAGCTTAACTAAAACTTAACAGGTTACTGAATCTGGCCTAACATTTGCTTTATCACAGAATTAATTTTGTAAATTAAATTTCAAAACCATTGACTTCCTTTTAACATAATAATACACTGTTCTAGGCCACATATTAATGCAAATGTAGATTTCATAAAACCTGCTCACGGGGAGTGAGCAATATTATTTAGATAATAAAAATCCTGACGATGTAATGGAGATTAGGCTTTAAAGTTTAAACTTTTTTTCCCTTATGCTTCAGTAAAATACACTGTGAGTAAAAGGTCAAGAACTGCCAAGGATTTGAGATTTTACCCTACTTGCAGATTAACAAATTTAGCTTGCCACAGTTTCATGGATGTAGACAGAAGACACAAGACTTCTGGGTCAGAGATTAAAGACTTAATTATTCACAGCAAAAGCAGTAGCCCGGGTGTTAACATGGTCTCATTGGATCCATGAACTGCAGTTGCCATAGGAGTTACACAGCTGAGCAAAGATGGATGCAAGCACACACAGGAGAGGAAACACCCAACCTAGTAAGCCCACCACATTGTAGCTACTGATAAGCAAGCTCTTGGTTTGGGAAAAGATGTCAGCATTTCCAAGGTTCACTGCAAACACTACTTTGAGAGATGGCCCATGTAAAGAGCAGTCAGAGCCTTGCATTCTAGGAACTCATGGCATAATATGTAGGAGCATGAGGGATCCATAGGGGAGTGTCTTCCAACCATTAGTAAATCATTTCTTGTTACTAGAAGTGAAATATAAGTGAGCTCTATCTTTTGAAACTTGAGATCTCTGAGGAAATTTCAGGAGCCTTTTCTGGTGACTACAGTATTGGATACCATAACTTTGCAGACATAATCCTGTCACATATAAATCTTACAGATATTTCCTATAATAAGTGTTGGTGGCTAATTGAAAAGTCCAAAGCTTTGAAGCCAACCTGTTGTGAAGGAGTCAATCATTCACACACTTCACACATTGCTCCTTGTCAAAGTAGATTTTCTTGTTAATTTTCTATCTCTGAGCTCTTTTTTTTTTTTTTTTTTTTACTCTTATACTCATTCACTCATAGGTTTGACTAGAGTGTAAAATTTTCACTGCCAAAGCACTACTGTTTTTGAAAATAGCTTTTTGGAAGTATAATTTACCTGCCATATAATTTAACCATTGGAAGTGTAGAATTCTATGATTTTTAAATATATTTGTAGCCTTGTACAAATGCCACCATAAGCAAGTTTTACAACATTTCTTTCACCTCCCCAAATTTTCTCATACTAGCTTCAGTTAAACTCCATTTAAAACTCTTTACCTAGGAAAACATTGATTTGCTTTTTATCTCTGTAAATTTTCTTCATATGGATATTTCATATCTATGTAATCATATGTAATAAGTAGTCTTTTGTATCTGACTTCTTGAAGTCCTCCTACCCCAAGGTAGTTGTTGCCAGGTTTAAAAATGCTTATTTTTCATTTTGTGTTTGTGCTTGATTTTTCTGCCTAGTATAAATCTGTTTAAACTCTTTCCTGCAGTGAGTGGTTCCTTATGACTCTGCTCAGTTGGTTTTTTGTAATTTATTTCCCATATTTTAGGACTGGCTGCATAAGAGTCATCCTGTTTTCATATAGGCTAGTTGCCAGTCAGTGACTGGGCAGGGATTGTGCTCAACCACCTCAAGTCAGCAAGGTTTTTGACTTCTGCCAAAGAATCTGTATATGGATAGCAGAGAACATTCAAAATCCAGGTCTTCCTGGGCGCTGTGGCTCAAGCCTGTAATCCCAGCACTTTGGGAGGCTAAAGTGAGAGGATTGCCTGAACCTAGGGATTCGAGACCAGCCTGGGTAACTTGGTGAGACCTTGTCTCTACAATAAATTAAAAAAATTAGTCGGGTGTGGTAGCACACGCCTGTACTTCCAGCTACTTGAAAGGATGAAGTGGAAGGATTGCCTGAGACTAGCAGGTCGAGGCTGCAGTGGCTATGAGCATGCCACTACACTCTAACCTGGACAATAGAGTGAGACTCCAACTCAAAAAATAAAAAATTTTAAAAAATCCATGTCTTTTCCATGTTGACCCAGCTTTACAGGGTTCTTTTGTATCTCTCCTACATGCATGTGGACAGCCTCTGGGTTGAAAAGAAATGTGTAACTAGGTCCTTTCCAGTTTCTACTGCACATACATGCAGCCTCAGCTGGCTAGTTGCATGCCACTGCCACCAATTTCAGTCTAGTAGAGGTCACCTCTGGCCAAATACTGGAGGTGTTGGCCTTCTCTGTTTGCTTGGCTTCAAGATAGTCATGTGTATCAACAATTTCATGGGTCCTGGACATTGCCCAATGATCCCGATTGGGAACACCTCTTTTAATTTTGGCAGAGAAGCTATTGATCCTCATGGCCTGCACTTTGCTTTGGTATCTCTATGTTGGTGAAGCTGGGATGGGATGGGAGCAGACCAAGTCTAGAATGCTACAAATTGCTACTCCTTATCCTAAGGTTAGTAATTTGTCAACTAAAAGTGCTTCTTAGCTTATTGCATCCCTTTGATCAATTTTCAGAATTTGGAAAGAGTTGTTTTTGCTAATTTTGTCTAGATTTATGGTTGCTTTTTAGGAAAACAATTTGCCAATTTCTTCACTGGATCATAGCCAAAAGTCCTGAGGACCACCCCACCCCCCGATTTTATTTTTTAATTTATTCTTCTATTTCACTTCAAAAAATAAAATTTTACTTTGAAATGAGTCATATTTGATACATCCTCTACTTTATCATGCTGTGCATATATTTTTGTTTAAAATGATCATCTTGCTCTGCCATTTCTGTATTTATTCTTCATTTCTGGAAACTCTTCATTTCTGTATTTATTTTGCTGGCATTTGTTTGCTGCATTAGAACACGAGGCCTCATGTTGATGCAGAAGTTCTAAGAGTGGCTAAAGTGGTGTCAAAGTAAAAATGTCTTTAATTTCTCATATAATGCAATTATGACAGACTGTTCTCAGAAAGACCACATATTACTGCAATTTCTCTTTTGTGTTCTCCTGTCCATGTGGTTTCACAATAAAGATATATATTCATTTCCATATATCTGTCCATATTCATGCAATACAAAAATCTGAATTACCCACTATTAAGGAAGAGTAGGGCGGCCTATATGATTCATTCGGTGGTTGAAACAGCAACCTTCAGTTAGAAAGTCACTAAATTGGACAGTTTCCTCTTAACTTTTGGTTTCTTTCTCATTGCCTCTTCTGTTCCTTACTTCACTGGACCTTGGTAAACCAAGGGGCAGGAAACTGAGCATAAGAACCTGTGTACCACTTTACTAAGAGGAGTTGAATGAATAACATTACTTCTTCCACACACATCAAACACAAATATATGAGTTCTAATATAAGTACTTGGATTACTGCATCACCTTACCATATTTCTGTATTAGTCAGATTAACCAGCCATAAAAAAATTGTGTTCTTTCTTTGAGTAAATGGCCAGTGATTGCTTTCATTATAGTACAGTTCCTGGCTTTGTGTGTTCTTATTGATATAAAAGATCATCAAAATCTTTCTGTCTCTTCCCTCTAGGCTGAGATTTTGTGGTATCTCAGGTGTGTGGAGCATATTTATTGGGTAGCTAATAATAGTTCAGTTGGAACTACCAAGTCACTTATTGAGGCTTTATAATTCATTCTAGTTGTTATTTGAACCTTCACTTGTCTGAAATGTGTTTAAGAAAGTAATATAGAAGTGATTTCACATTCTACCTCTTTAGACTACATACAGCATACTCATAAAAATGATACCACTGTTTTAAACTGAAATTAAGAAACATAGAGAAACATATGTTTGCACAGAAACAATGCATAAAGAATATTTGTAATGTTTATAGCATATATTCCTTTCACTTCATATTAAGCTACTATAATAAAGAACCTTACTTTATAGTGGCTCAGACAACTAATTTGTGTCTGTGGCCTGTGTATTTTCAGCCCCGCCAAGGCCGAGGGCTCTTTCTACCATGCCACTATCATCACCATCACAGTTGACACTGACTCATCAACTCAAGGGTAGTAAAAGAGAAAGAACCATCCAGGTCAAGTGGCTTGGTCTATTTCAACATGACCCAGAAATTGTACATTCCACTGACCTGAACATGTTGATTTCCCACTTCTAGCTGCAAGGAAAGCTGAGAAATTTCTTGATCTGAATGTTCATTAACCCAACTAGCATACTCCTTTATGATGTTCCACAATAGTAAAAATAAGATATACTTCCTGTAGAAAATTTGGGTAATACAAAATAGTAAAGGAAGGAAAAAACATACACCATTCATTTCACTTTTCAGAGATGATAGGCATATATTTTTGTGTATTTTTTTTCCCTAGGATTTTTTTTTTTTTTACATACCTATGCAATTCTCTTAATGCTATTATTTTACTACAATGATAGCAAGACTTTTTTCCTCATGCAATTAATTGGCTTTAGGCAATCTGATTTTAATGGCTGACTTACACATAGATTGACTCTCATTTATATAAGTATTATAATATCCTACTGTGGAACATTTATCTGTTTCCATATATTTACTATTATAAAAATAAGTTGCTATATGCACTCATGTTTTTGTGTTTCCCAGGGT